CGGGAAGTGCGCAAAACAATCAGCAGGTGAAAGGGGCACCAACTCCACCAGCCTGAACCTGCCCGAGGAAGCGCAGGCCACAGCTCGGCACCCGCTCAACGGCGGCGGGCCACAGGTGTGCAAGCAGCGACGCCCAGAAGGAATCTCATTTGGGGCTGCATTTAAGAGGAGCGGATTCAGGGGCGCCCGGGGGGCTCAGTCGGTTGAGCGTCCGACTTGGGCTCGGGTCGTGATCTCACAGTTGGTGGGTTCGAGCCCCACGTCGGGCTCTGTGCCGACAGCTCGGAGCCTGGAGCCTGCTTCGGATTCTGTGTCTCCCTCTCTCTCTCTGCCCCTCTCCCACTCGTGCTATGTCTCTTATAAATAAATAAACCTTAAATAAGTAAACAAATAAAAAACAAAAATTTGGATTTACACGTCTTTTGATGAACCATTTGAATACCGGAAAAGCCTCCGTCCTCAAGTACTCCAGCAGCCCCACCCGCGACCTCTGCGCTCCTGACCGTCTCCTGCCTGGTAGCGTTCTGTGTCCCGTCACTGACCTGACGGGACGCCGTCTCCCCCATCCAAATAGGCGGCGAGCAGAGGAAGCCCTCCGCCAGCCTCTCTGTGAGCTGAGGCGCGGCACCCGCTCCCCAAGCGGAGGCCGTGATGCTGTACTGACCTCTCGGCCATCAGCCAGGGGTTGAAGGCGCCCACGGCCTCGTGCGCGGTCATGCGGAGATACTGCTCGAAGCGGCTGCAGGAGTCGCGGATGCTGCGTCGCATGCCCGGGGGCACCAGGAGGGCGGTGCGGCCTTCCTGCCGCAGAGACTCTTCCGGAAGGGGCGGAAGGGGAGCCTCCCTCTTCTCAGACTCCTCGCCAGCGTCCACACTTGCATCCAGGGAGCTGAGGGGACAGGTGGCGAGCTCAGATGGCCCACGAGCAACAGCATGCCGTTCCTCCCACCCGACGAGCCAGGGCTAGTCTTTCTCTCTCCCCGAGCAAAGCCAACACCCCCGCGGCCCCCGACGCCCGCCCCGTGTGGGCATCGCTGTCCCGCACGCCACGGGGCTCTGGGGGCAGGTGTGCCACGGGATCCGCACAGCCGGGCGGTGCCGCCCCCCGTAAACACTGCCTCCGGCACGGCGCTCACCGGCCCGTCTTACGGCCTCACCGCTTCACCGGGCCTCCCTGGAGCTCGGCGACATTGGGCCCCAGGCCCCGAGAAAGGATTTCCTCGTCTTGAGGGAAGCAACGGACTCAGGCGTCTCACAGCACCGGAGGCCGAAGCAGCCTGGGCGCCACTTACTTGCCATTGCGAGGTCTTTCCAACACGATG